GTCCCCGGGGCCCCCGCCTCCGCGCGCCCCGCCGTGCCCTGGGGGCCTTTGACCCGCTGACCTCCGCCCGCCTCTGCGGAGGCGACCAGGGAGACTCCTAGAACAGCTTTAAAGTGGCCCCGAACCTGACAAAACGGGTAGAATACGTGTATCGCGTGCAACCCAACCCGACAAATTAAAGACCACGCGTGTGGGCTTTTATGTTTTTGTTTGCATTTTTTTTTTTTTCTTTTTTGAGACAGGGTCCCACTTTGTAGCCCAGGCTGGTCTCAAACTCGCAGCGATGCCTGCCTCAGCCTCCCAAGTGCAGGGATTCCAGACACACGCACACGCCCAGCAAGACTTGACCCACAGGCAGAGTGAGCACAGCCTACAGGGTCACAAATCAAACATGTAGGGGCCGGCGGGAACCATACATCAGGCCGCCGTGGGCAGTCGTGGCTACTGTACTGCTGAAGGGGGCAGCATTTTCTCGGCGAGATTACACGCTAAGCGTAGACAGACTTTTCCAAAGAAGCAGAAAAGGTAGCTGTTTTTGCAGGCTGCAAAACGTTGTCTACTAAATTGAGAAAAGCAACTCCTTCAAACGCTGCAAGGGCCAAGTAAAATGGAACACATCTGCAGGGCGGAGCCGCAGACCGCCACCAGGATGTGGCTTCTGTCTTCTTTTCGCGCTGCCCTTGCACCCCTTGAGCTTTATAGGTCGGTATGAAAAGCCAATTAAAATTCCAAACGCGCAGGAACGGACCCCGTCACACTGCTCAGCTGTGGGCAGCGGGGAGCCTGTGACAGCGTCTCGCTCAGGGCTTGTGTGCTCCGATGGTTGCAGAAGAGGACCCGGCAGCCAGGCCAGGTGCCGGCGAGGGCTGAACGTTTCTCCCCACCTCTGCGCGCCAGGCGGGGGACTCTTAACTTCGTACAGCGGCAAAGACGCTGTTTGAGATTCCCTCAGCTTCCCCAAGTGCGCCTGGGACAGACTGTGTCAGCATTTCTCCCTGAAACGTTGAATGACGGCGTGGATGAGGACGGAATACCAAACAGAGCCAGCCTGTGGATGTTAGGGGTCTGCCTGCTCACGGCTGAGAAACAACTCCCAGCTTTGCAAAGATGCCTTCCTCCATGATGACTTTAGCAGCTGCTGGGCTTTCTCAACATGCTCCAGCCGGATAGCCAAGGCTAAAAAGAGAAAACCACAGAGCTATTTAATCTTTAGAGGCCCAGGGGGGAAAAGAAAAGCTTTTCCATGGCGTTAGCCCATTTTTAATATTTGATGTAACATTCTGATTGTGTAACATTCTGATTCGCTCTTGTCTGTCAGCACAATACCCTCTGCAGCAAGATCGCTTGTGCATAACTGTGACCTGGGGCCCAGTACAAGGAGTCTCTGAGCCTCGGTTTCCTCATTTACAAAATGATTTCACAAACTGAGGGTTGTGGTGCACGCCTTAATCCCAGCACTCAGGAGGCTGAGGCAGGAGGATCACTGTAAATCAGAAGCCAGCCTGGGCTGCATAGTATATTGAAGTCCAGCCAGAACTACATAGCCAGACCCTATCATAATCAATCAATCAATCAATCAATAAAGACAGCAAAATACACTTGGAAGTGTCCGTCAGATATAATGGGTGTAATAGGAACTGAAGCAAAATGGGAAACGCCTTCCTTACCCAAAGGTGTTGTAGGCAGATGAGTTAGATTAGAAATGTTACAGGCAGTTGCCGAGGGCTGGGCCCTTGGAGGAGCCAGTGGAAGACAGGATACCCTGCAAGTGGAAAGACAGGCACCTCCTGTGGGCCAGACCTCGAAACAAAAGGTAAAACAAATGCACCCACACACCTCTTAGGGATGGACATCAGGGACTGATATTCTAAATGGGTATCAATCACCTTGAAAAAGCCAGGAAGAGTCCCTGACCCAACCCCCTCCAGGAAAAGCCCCTGTGCTGTATCCATGCCCACTTGCTGTGTGACTCCTTCCCCATTCGATCCCAGTTTACTCAAGTTTACCTGAACAACTATACTTGTAATCTCATTGGCTGACCATAGTTTTGTCCCACCTCATGCCCACCTGTAATTTCCCATTTGCCCCCTGTCTCGGACCCGCCTCACCTCGGGGTTTTGCTCTATAAAGTCCCTGGGAAGGGCAAGGTCCTTGGCAACCCGCTCGGGTCCCCTTCTGTCCCTCTCTCAGACAGAAGCTTTCTTTCCCTCAATAAATATATTCTGCTCTTAACCTCTGTGGTTCCTAAAATTCATTCTTTGGTTTTAGAGAACGCGATCTTGTCCCAGATATCTTTCAGGTGGAGTTACTTTCCCTTGTATCAAAGGGAGCTGCTATCTAAGTCTTCACTTTTGGGGCTGTACAAATCTCCGCCACCCCAGTTCTGTCCTATACCTCTATTTTTATTTATTTATTTATTTATTTATTTTATTTTTTTGGTGCTGGGAATCAAACTCAGGACCTTGTGCTTGCCAGGCAGGCACTTATGCCACTGAGCTATATCCCCGGCCCCTTATTTATTTCTTTTTAAGGGGTTTTTGTTTTTGTTTTTGTTTTTTTGAGACAGGGTCTTGTCATGTGCTCCAGGCTGCCTGGACCTCACTTTGTAGCCCAGGCTTGCAGGGATCCTTCCGGTTCAGCTTCCCCAAGTGCTGGGCTATTAGGTGTGCATCACCATGCCTGACTTGGAATTAATTTCTTAATTTCATATTCAAATTTGCTCCTTGCCAATGTACACAATACAGTTAGATTTTTGTATATTTATTTTGTGCCCTGTGACCTTGCCAAAATTGTTGCCTAGTGATGGAGACCACTACAGAGCAGCTCTGAGCAGGATTTAAATGAACCCACGGGCTTTCCATGTTTACGTGTGAGTCTGCCTGTAGCCTAGGCCCCCTCTCTGGAGACGGGCAGCGGACTCAGAGCAAGTGAACCTCTGTGAGTCACTAGTTCCTACTGAGGCCCGTAATGGTGGGTGAAGCCGTGAAGCCTCAGACGATAAGACAAGGTCACAGCTAAGGACACCTGGCTCCAATCTCAACTAGATAAAGACTGTAGCCTCAGGGTGGAGGCCTTCCTGGAGTTAACAGAGCTCTCCTAAATTAACATAATGCCTTATTTGGAGAAGTCCTTGGGCAGTTCCCCTTCTTCTTGAGTATCCCCTTCCCTTGCTCTGATAACTAAATAAATATGGGCCTCCCAAGGAAGATCTTGGTTTTAACCCACAGAGAATCTCAAATTCTGTGAGAAGGTTTTGAGCTTCCTAGAGCCCTGAAATCATTCCGTTTGTCTCTTTTATTTAGCCTTTGCTGTCCACTCATTTGGGAGATTGCAAACCTGATCAGTCTGTGATAACTCAGGGATATTATTAACTCAATAGAATAGTTCTAATAGTTTTACTTGGTTTAGTTCAATAGGTTCCTTAGAACTTCCTAAATACAAGCATTTAAATCTACGGATTTCCTTCCATGTATAAAACACATTTTATATATTGCGGGAAAACAACTGATATTCAGAGTTGTCCAGTTCTGTACTTAGACATTACAGAGAGAGTTTGCTGATCATGCCACATCTCTGTAGCTGGAAATCCATCATAGATTTTTAATAAATGCTGGAAATTTAGATATTTATTTCAGTTTTTACGTATTAGCAACTGACTCAATGTTTTGTTTTGTTTTCTTATTTGTTTTGTTTTGTTTGAGCCAGGAAGATCTCACTATGTAATCCAGGATGGCTTTGAACTTACTATGTAGCGCAGGCTGGCCTCAAATTTATGGCTATCCTCTTGCTTCAGCCTCCCTAGCGCTGGGATTACAGGCATGTGCCACCACTCCTGACTAGTCAATATTTTTAAACACGTCATGGAAATCAATAAAACATACCTTGTGGAACTGACTGAGCCTTAGTTTCCCAATTTGTAAGCTGTATTCTAAGAGAGTGCCAGGGATGCCTGTGTCTTACTCATTTTCTTCATTTCTGGGACAGAATACTTGATATCCACAAAAAGAAGGAGGTTCTTGTCCTAGGTATTCACATTATTGTTATAAATACTACTGCTTTCTTTCTTTCTTTTTTTTTTTTTTTTGAGACAAGGTCTCACTATGCAGTTCTGGCCCTGAGCTCACTTTGTAGCTCAGGCTGGTCTCAAACTTGCAATGATCCTCCTGCCTCAGCCTCCCAAGTGCTGTGACTACAGGTGTGTGCTACCGTGTCTGGCAGCTACTGCTTTCTTAATTTCTTTTTGGTTAACTGACCTTTGGCATACAGCAACATACTGGACCTGGTGTGCTGACTTTGCATACTGCACCTCTGCTGATGTATCAGTTGTGGTAGGTTTTGGGTGCAGCCTTTGAGGCCTTCTGTATAGAAGACCGTGTCAGCACACCTGAGAGAGAAAGCTTTCAAATGTCCCCCGTTGAGTATAATTTTAGCTGTTGGCTTATTGTTAAGTTTGTGTCTCAATGTCCCCTGAGGCCTCAGGCGCTCATACGTAGAGCTTTTGGGAGGTGGCTGGGTCCGGGGTGTGTGACACTGGGTTTGTCCCTGGGTCGGATCGTTTGGCATAGTTCTCATGTGGGTGATACCAACCAATGGGCCGAGAGCCTGACAGGCGAGGCGCCCGAGGTCTGCCTACCCCTGCCCGGCTGTGAGGAAGCTTCCTCCAGCTGGAGCTGGAAGGTTTTC